GTAACGTGAGATCTTCCTGGTACCTGTGGATCTGTGGATTCCAAGTGACATGTTGTTCAGCCAGCAAAGTACCAGTCTAATGGAAGCTGTGTTCAAGTTCGTAGGATTCGTGATGACGGGTTATCCAAATATTTAAACACATGGAATACAAATGAAAGGGCATAATTTATGTCAACGCCTAGAAAACCACTTCGAATCAACGAACGAAATTGAAGAATCGCATCTCTCTGGACAACATGCATTTTTCACAGTTTCATGGGTTTCTTTCCAGTCTTCAACAAATGGCTTCGTAGAAAATGCTATTGTGTTCAACTTACTGTTGTGAATCCTCCAAGGCTTCATTGTTACAGCGCTGTCGTTTTTTCAATAGTTTCGAAACCTCACAATACCCGACGATTATCCGGCTTAAGCTTGCCAATAAACATAGTGAATGTCATTTAAAAAGCAAAATGTGTTTTATTTACATAACCCGACATCAGATATTGTGCGGATTTCAACATTTCTTTCACTCGATTCGTTTTCCCACACCCAACACGAAGCTCTTCGGATTTCCGTGTGGCTTTCGCAACTGCTTGAGAACTTGGTATTCGTCACAAAGTCCCTTTAAAGCTGGTTGCGTAGAATCTCCTTGAAACCTTGGGATAGCCTTGCTACCACGTCCCCAAATCGTCACTACAGGCAGTCTGTCGGATGGAGGTTTTCCCAGACACGTCTGGCAAAAATTCTCCAACCCTGCACCTTGGCTGGCCTGGCGCAAAGCTCTTAACCGCTATGTATACCGCTCCTCGGTAAAGCTATTATATTTCTAAACTATTCCTTCATTCTAGCGCTATTTCAGTTGTCTCCAAAAACATTGAATTCATTTTAAAAAAGAACAAAAGAATACTAACTGTCTTCATCTCAGAATATTGCCGTTGTTTTAGATATATCCTTGTTATTTGGTATTGCTAAATTCATGTTTTGAGACAATTAATAGTAGCTGGCGTACAGAGAGGAATATTTCTTCAATGAAAAGCAAAAACTTTTTCTATAAAGAACTGCGCACTGGGGATGATTTCATCCAGTTGGAACATATGGATTCTTTCTTAAGATTTCGAGGAACACTACTAGTTAAACCTTTTAATTTTCTGCCCACTATAATTTCGCGGCAGGGTACTAAGCGAAATACAACCACAACGTTGCTGAGATATTTGCAAAACTCTGGACCGCAGGTGTCTATGGTGGGGAACGAAAGCGCTATTGTCCTTACCGAGGAGTAGCGCACTTCACCACCACACCATCCGGGTCCTTTGTTTTGCCTGTCTCTTAGCAAGTTCTATCGATCTTTTGCCCTCAGCAATCACCCGTCAACGGGATTGTTCTGGGTGGCCCAAATCGGCAACGAACCCAGTTAAGCTGAGGCCGCAGTTATAATCACAATTTAACGTATTATTCACCTGCGGTCCGGAGTTTTGCAAATATCTCAGCATCATTGAAGTTATATTTCACAATGTATACCCTGCGTTAAAAAGAATAGGCAGTAAATAATACGTTGAACTGTGACCACTAGTTAAGTTTCGTTCTAATGCGAGAAAGCTGTGAGTCTATAGCGATGAAGTTATGATCGATTAATGGTAGACGTAAGAATGAAATGCTGTAGAACTCAGTTATTAATACATATTCCCTCTGTGACATTCATATATTCCTTTCATTGCGTTTTTTCATTGAGCTTTGCTTAGTGTTTGCTAATTATTACTGACGCATAGCTGCTTGCCACCTGTGCTTATCACCTGCTCATCGCCCTACTCTTTAAACAAACAATCATTAAGTGAAGCAGACAAACATAATTTTGCCAACTATTGGTGTTCAATCTTTTTCATACCACCATAAAGAGTAAAGGATAAAACATTTGGTGCCGATCGATTCATTAGGGGTGCGTTATGCACTCAGCTCCATTCGTAGCAACCTAAAGGTTATTGTGTCCGCAATTGCTCCATGCAGTGACTTACGTTAACATGTAGAGATATCAGATCAGAGTTTCTATCCACGAAAAATTTTTGTCACCATTTTTCTTCCTGTGGGTGAGTTCGTTAGCCGAAGGAAATGAGGAAACCAAAGATTACTCGTGATTTGAAGGGTTTCACTAACCACCGTTCTACATGCGCGCACATCACCATATCATCAACGCACTTGTCAACTCAGTTAACGTATAACGATGGATGTAGTCATTTCGATCGACATCTACAACAATGTTGATAAACTATAGTAATGAGCATCTAACAGATTTCGATCAGGCGAAAATGTAACGAAAATTAAAAATTAAAATCTGATCTTTTTGAAGAGCAAAGTCATAATCTTTGTTCTGAATAATATCAGTGTTCATAGACATGGTGATATTTCAATACTCTACACCCATAGCAATTTCGTTTCACTTCCAAAAATCTGCCGTTTATTCGTGGTTTACAAAAGGCATTTGTTTTTCGGTCCATATTTTCTCACTTCTAATGCCGTTTTTTCTACCTTCCAAGGAAGGGAGATATTTTCGAAAACGATTAACGCACTTTGTATAGTAGTTCATTCAGTATCCCGCTAATGGGAGAGATTCGGACGCCATGTTGTGTGAGTCCAAAGAATGCCTGTATTTGTGCTATGGTGAGCGTTTTCTCTTGCAATTCTTTCGTTTTTTCTTGAAAAAGAAACATATCTCTGAGTCGTCGTCTGTTTCACTCTTAACGCTTTCTATTTGTCCAATCAATATGTGTCACAAATATTTAGTAACTCACAGTTACTTTTTCATATGGACTCATTTTTTATAATTGTTTGCCGTGTATTTGCGACAGCAAGAAAATTTTTATGAGTACTTTGGTAAGGAAATAGGTTTTTTGCCTGTTTTCCTACATAATAAAGGATAAAGGAATGAAGTAGTTGAGCGTGCATCAAGCCCTCATGGATGCGTCATTGTTTAGACTTAATTAGTAGCATCGCGGAATGATTGAATGCATATTTGACCTATCTAACTTATGATGGCTTCCCAAGGTACGAAGCCACTAGTTGTATGCTCCCAAAAAAGTGTGGTAGCAATTTACTGACTCGAAAGAAGTACAGTGTTTTTAACTTATTATTTACTGCCTACTCTTTTAAACGGCATGGTATACATTGTAAAATATAACTTCAATGGTGTTGAGATATTTGCAAAACTCCGGACTGCAGGCGCATGCGGTGGGGAGCGAACACGCGCTGTTGTCCTTACCGGAGAGTAGCACGTTCACCACCACACCATCCGGGTTCTTCGTTTCGCCTGTCTCCCAGCTAGTTCTATCTATCTTTTGCCATCAGCAATCACCCATCAGCGGGATTGCGGTCCGGAGTTTTGCAAATATCTCAGCACCCTTTAAGTTATATTTCACAATGTATACCCGTTAAAAAGAGTAGACAGTAAATAATAAGTTAAAAATTGTGATTATAACTGCGGCCTCAGCTTAACTGGGTTAGTTGCCGATTTGGGCCGCCCAGATTAATCCCGTTGACGGGTGATTGCTGAGGGTAAAAGATCGATAGAACTAGCTGAGAGACAGGCAAAACGAAGGACCCGAATGGTGTGGTGGTGAAGTGCGCTACTCCCCGGAAGGGACAATAGCGCGTTCGTTCCCCATCGCATACACCTGCCGTCCGGAGTTTTGCAAATATCTCAGCACCATAGAAGTACAGTGGTTTGTGCTCCGGGTGCGCAATCGAACCAGAGGTTGCTCTCTCTTGCAAGGCGCTACACAAGTCTCATTGAATATGCAACAGCAAAAAAATGGCTTTGTAAATAAAAACATAGAAACTGATTATTTTTTGCCCTTATGTGTTTTTTACGTTGTTTTCGTTTTATGGAAATCATTAGATATTGCTTAGAGGTGGTTCGTCTTGCACAAAGTTGGTGAGACACTGCGCTTCGAGTAAACGTTGACAGTCGCTACTCTGGGTTGGCAGTTCTTTACTAAACTTGTCAGGGAGGGTTAAAACTCTGAGTCGATACCTCGAAAAGCTACAATCACCTCTACAATGCTACTAATGGGATTGAATGGTTGGCGTATTCTTAAGGGTTTGATCCAAACCGAACGTGCGAGTTGGATTTTCACTATACTAGTTTCGAAACGAATTATCCGTTTATTTTCAGGCTTTCGAAGCGTTAATAATGGCTCAGTCGCTAGTTTTTACAATTGGTTACATATCTCAAGGTGAAACTGTATATGATGCCTCGCTTACATTCTTTTCTGAAATTGTTAGCTGGGAATTTCTTATGCCAATTGTTATCATCCAGGTAATATTTAGACATATGGCGCCTATTTTACCATCGTATTATACGATGGGGAACAATCTTAGTAAACTGTAAGTACTACATGGTATTGCCTTGTAGATTTGCATCTCCACCAGCTTACAGTATCAACGAGTAACTCATTTTCTAGTGCAGAAGATAGTTTAAAGTGTGATAAACATGGTATTTTGTAATGTTCGGAGTTTATCATCCATTATTGGAATTTTATGTACTTATCCACAAAGGCAAAAGGGTGCGTGTGGCGCCGTGACCGGAGGTGCCCTGAAACACATATGGAATCGATCCATAGGCCCATGGCCCAGCAAGCCTTCCATCCCTCTGGAGTCGGCAAATTGGTACAGACTTGTCTGAGAGGATAGCAGCACTGGCTCGAGGCATCGGTAGGCCACCGCGAGTCATTCTAAAGGCGAGATATGCATGCATTCACTTCCAACGGTACTCAATGAAGTCGATTGCATGGCGCATCTCTCAGAGATTGATCAACGCCAAGAGCTTTATCCTTTTATCCTTTTATGTGCTTTTTATAAGAAAAATAGAATGTAAAACCTTTTGACCATAATATTGGATATTTGTTTTCCGTTAATTTCATTATATGTTGTTCACCGAGTTAAATACTCTCTACATAAAATAATCTTTTCAGGTAACATTTTTTTTAATGAATCTAATTTCATTTTTGGCAATTCGATGTATCGTGCCATACTTTTTGTTGCCATACATAGTAATGTCCGTGTTCTCGCTTTTCATTGCTACAGCTCTCATTGGAGTTACAAGTGCGTTTCCATCATTCTGCGTCATAAATACTTACTATGAATTTGTGTTTGTTAGTTAAGAAAAGTTTTATCGTAAATGTTCATTCTATAGATAGTGGGGAGGCCATCACAGTTATGTTTCTTGAATAACACATTGGTCATTTTAAAACGGAAAAAACCTATAATTATGGTGAAATTAAATAGAACTGAACACAGGCTGGATGTCGGAGGCATGTACCTTATCACAACGAAAATTTTACAGTTGATCGAATAGTGTGGGTTTTTGGATGGTCATGGCCACCAAGCTTACTATTATTGTTATTATTTCTTTACTTAGTGGTGGAGCCATATTTCGTCAGCTTAAAATTATCCGTCTTCAAATTACTAGTAAAACGGAAGAAGGTATGTGAACTAATTTCACTTCTTTTGTGTCAGTCCTTTCTCACTCTCAACAAGCTTTATTTTTCATAACCTTACAGCTGTAATTACGTCTATTTTAGTTTGTTTTTCAAATAACTGACCCAACTCAATTAATTCTTAAGATAAATGTGCTTTTAGTATCCACATCAGCTAATCTCTTCCACAAAGATATACGGTCTTAATTTGTTAAAATGAACGTCCTGATTGCCGATACAATGTAAAACGAGAGTTTTAGACTATTCACGAGACTATTCAGCGAAACGCATAGTCCAAAGATGAACTATGCCATCGAAATGATAAAACTCTTCGAAAAATAACTCTTGTTATTGTGTCTTCATTCCCAGTATCTGCTATGAGGACCTTGGTCGTTTTACGGTGAAGAGTTTAGACAAAACTGAAAGAGCGGCAACTGCATGCTGTGATGTGATGAAGCATCTCTTATCCAGCGATCTAAGTCCGCCATAGATCATAACCTCTCGACAAATGAAGACGCAGTCTTAAGGAAATTTCGTCAATTTCTCATGTGGAATGGTATGACAGTTGCAGAAAGGAATCTTAGACATCTAGGTGTTCTGAACTAAAACCGTAATCCCAGTAGACCTTATGATAAGGAACTATATCTCGTTTACGTAGGCAACACAGGAACTGCACCTTTCTGAGTGTAATCTATGTGGGGTACCACATTTTTATATGTCGCAGGACATCGAATAAAGTACTAAGTCCACATTTTGAAAAAAAAACGCATTGTATAGTTATTAGTTGTAAGATTCCATATTGTACTGCCAGCAGTACCGGTTTCAGCACACACTAATGAATCTACCTATCGATTCATATAAGACTAAAACTGCTTCAATGTACAACTTTTTATATGTTTCCTATTTTTATTACGTGGCAGGGTATTATGTGAAATAAAACCACAATGATGCTGAGATATTTGCAAAACGCGAACCCAGGTCAGATCTGAACATCGATTATCCTTTCCGGAAATGTCTCAGCATCACAGAGGATGCAACTTCTTCTTTATGTAAACAATAGGCGTGAATACTAGAACCAATATATTTTTCTCTCTTGATGGAAATAAAAATGGGATCAGCTCACGACACTTAGTCAGGCGACATTTAGGAGTTCTTGAAAAGTTTCTTTAAAAAAATTGTTCCGGGTGAGATTGCCTTATTGGAGTTGTGCTCTACTGAAAAGGATTCGGTTCGATACGACGATTGTGGACCATCGAATCGGATCTTCGACTCTGAATAAGACAAAGAATTCGAGATGTTAGTCGAATAAGCAACTTCATCAACCTCATGTTATCTTGAAAATTGAAGAAGGTATTGTTCCTTACTACCCACGTTAAATGACAGTTGGTTTGAAAACTGCTCCAATCAGCATTTTATAAGACTGTCTGGCCATAATGAATAAAGCGAAAATGACGAAATAACCTTGCGCAGACGATTGATGGCCGAGATGCAAACGTGTTTAACTGTCCTGAGAAGCAAAGCCACAGAGAGTGACACTATCAGTACGACACATTTGTCGACATTCTCATTAATCCGTTACCAATGGTGATTTCTTTAAAAACAGAGTTCATTGGCAGTCATGCAGTAATCTCCACAAATGGCTGTTTCAAATGAAAAATGAGTGTTGGAATGAGTATTAGGGAAAACGTATGAAAATATCGTGGTATTTGCTCACGTGCAGTCAGCAGGGGTATTAAATGGCTTCATAAAATAAGTCTTACACAATACAAATGCAATTATGAGATGGTCGATAGGTACTGTATTCGTGACAATATGTAAAACCACAACGACGTTGACATACTCTCAAAACTTAGACCCCAGGCCAGAACGAACCACTGTTTTCCTTTCCGGGGCTTGCGCATTACGTACTGTACCACGGAGGCTTTTGAACTGCGTTTTCCCCAACTAGTTTACTACCTAACGCTGCCATTAGCATAAAACGTTGAAGAAGTTTTTATTAAGCGTTCACTCGAAAAATTCTTTGCCATTATAGGCGTAGGGAAAGTAGGTATGGGTTGATAACTAATAAAATACGCTGTGGTCTACTGCTTTTTCACTGTTCAACTTTATAGGAATTCTCACCTTGAACAGATCGGTTAATATTACAACAATACAGCTTTCAATTTTTAAGTTGATTTTACAAGTTCAGGCGGTGCAAGGCACAGCTGAGAAGCCAGCACTGCCAGCGAATGATCCAATGGACTCGTACAGTCGTCGATCCACAGTCGTGGTTACCGACGAATTTATTCAACAACCTCCTCGCTTCTGATCTCATCCACTTATCCATGGGTAATTAAACTTTATAAGTAATAAACTTCAGATTTACATAAACCGTTATCTCGTCTACTGTGAAGATCCCAGCATTCTTGCATGCGATTCGTTTTTTCTCGCATTCATCATCCATAAAGGTCTTCAAATACTTCGCGTTTTGCTTTGGTTGCTGCTTGAAGATTTTGTCTCCCTTATAAATGTCGTAGAATGGTGTTCGAGTCAAGTGTCATTGCAGCCTTGAAGATAGAGCCTGAGCTAAGGGGTTCCCGCTTGGACTACAGGATAGCGTTGGGGCGGCGAACGAACTACTGCCTTTGCCTCCTGATCGACGGCATTATTAACCGCTGTGCTATCTTTTCCTTACCTCTATGTAACCAACGCTGGTTACTAATTTCAGAAAATAGAGTACACGTATTCAGATTAGGATACCTACACTCTATTTTTTTAGGATATGGACATGTAAGATTCGGTTTCTACATCGTCCTTGAGCGGTCGGTTGCCTTCACATTCCTACTTTCGTTTCTGATTTCGGTTTTACCATCTCTCCGAAACAACTAGTAGGAAGACCGAGCGAAGGATTCGTTCCCGAAAACGCACCTTCCTCCGATCTACATCGCGGTAAAGACCTGGATACGCCCTTGCAAGGATACGTCAGGACTTGAGAGAGGACCAAGTTGCACGACCAACACTAGTCCAGCCTCAGTACCCCGCATACTGGGTGCTCCCGTCTAAGACATCAGGCGGTGAGACGACAGGTGAGAGGCCAGAAAATTTAGAGTTACACAGGACGTCATTAGAACCTGATTTGACGAACACACGAACGACACGCCATGCAGATTGTTTCTTACTATGCACATATAATGCCAGAACACTCTCCGCAGATGCCGATCTTCACGCCCTTCTTATAGCCGCAGATCGCATTAAATTTTATGTGACGGCATTAAAAGAAACAAAAATCGAGAAAACCGACATACGCCAACTAAACAACGGGGCCCTTGTGATTCGTGGAGAAAAGGTCCCGTCACGAAATGCCGGCGGAGCAGGCTATGCCGTCCACCCCTCCATTGTCCATCTCGTCAACTCACACGAGATCCTTTCCCCTGGCATAGCCATCCTCCGTCTCCAACTGTCGCATCATAAAAAGATCACTATTACCAATTGCTACTCACCGACAGACGCAGCTGATTAGTAAGAAATAGATGCGCTCTACTATCAGTTGGAGGAAGTCTTCCGCAATGATAAAGCATATCATAAATTGGTTGTTGGAGATTTCAACGCGAGAATAGGAATGGCCAACAAGAGCAAATACAGAATCGGAAATTTTGGATTAGGAGAAAGAAATGAGAATGGGAACCGTCTTGCAGGACTTCTGCCAGCAGCACGTCTCTTCCATGCAAGCCCGATTTTCCAGAAGAAAGAAAGCCGCCGCTGGACATGGGAATCTCCCAATGGCATTACACATGCGGTGAACGACCATATTTTGACAAACAGAAGATGGTTCCTACTTGAAACATCGGTAGTCCCGCCATTCGGTACTGGTTCCGACCATCGCCCTCTTCGCACGAGCATTCGATTCAGCCGCATGCTAGAAAAGAACTCTTTTCATGGACCACGAGGAAAAAGTCTAGCTGTATACGACGAGAACATTCTGAACGAAGTCCTGTTCAAACGTGACTGACAGATTAAAGAAGACCCGACCGAAAACTACGAGCGGTTTCTCGAAGGACTGAAAAGGTGTGCCGAATTCGCCTCAGTTCCTCATGCAAGAAGATCGGATCGCATCTCCATCACTACTAGGGAGTTGCTCGAAAGGAGAGGGAAAATGAAGGTTGGTCCTACAGCAACACGTTTAGCATGGCGAACAATAAATACCAGCTGCAAAAGGGCTTTGCAGGAAGATCTACAACGGTATAAGCTGAAGAAAATACTGGAAGCAGGAAAGAAAAGAAACAGTGTGAAAAAATTCCGCTGTCAACCCTTATGAACGAAGATGGGATCGTCAGAACTTTCCGCCATGATATGGAATTAGTAGCGGAAACGTTCTACACTAACCTTTTTCGTTCCACAATTTCCGTCCCGGGTCCTAATATCCCCGATGGAGAAAAACCACCTGGAATTCTTCCGTTGGAGGTTCGAGTTGCGATAGAAAGCATGAGAAGAGGCGCAGCTCCGAGATCCGATAATATTACAGTCGGCTTCCTTACAGAGCCACAGTTTATATATACTTTATGCAAATCATATGACAGGCTACCTTCAAAAGGAAAAATTCCCAGACCAGTCGAGGACGTTGCGAGCAATCATCCTGCTCAAGAATGGAGACCGAAGGGATCTTCGTAACTATCGTCCCATATGCTTCTTGAGTGTACTCTATAAGCTCTTCACGAAGATTATCCTCTCGTGCACGTCAAGGACATTGGATGAGGCGCAACCAGTCGAGCAAACAGGATTTCGAAAAAGATTTTGCTGCATGGACCGTATCCAAACCGTGTCTAGGGTCATCGAAATTTGTCAACGACTCCTCTTGCCTCTAGTCCTAACCTTTGTCGACTATGAGTAAGCGTTTGACAGTGTGGAAACGAATGCAATCCTATCAACGCTCGTCGACCAAGGAGTGGACCCGTTTTGCATAAGACCTCTATCAGACTGTTATCGGCACTGCACTCTACGAAAATACAGCTTTTCCTTCGACCTCTTACCATACCCATAGGAAAAGGTGTTAGGCAAGGCGACACAGTATCGCCAAAGCTGTTCAGTGCTCCACTGCAGTGGATAGTGAATTCACTCGTTTGGGATGAGAAATATAAACGTATTAATGAAATATTCCTGTCAAACCCTCGTTTTGCCGACGACATTATCATATTCTCAGGAAGTACTAGAGAAGCAAAGATGATGATCAACGAGCTCAGCGAAGCAGGGAGAAAGATCGGACTGCGTACAAATCGAAAGAAGACCCAGTTCATGAAAAACCCATGGTTCGACAGCGAAAAAATTGAATTGGATGGCTCTGTTATGCTGCAGAGCCGTGGGTTGATACTTCAACTACGTCAAGAATGCTTCAAACTACTCACAGAGTGCTTGAACGATGTTTTTTTAAAATATAACCGGCACTCTCAATATGTAGCCGGAATGCGAAGCTCTGACCTTCGAAATCTGTCACGTCTTCGAGATCCAGGATAATATACATCGACAGCGAAGCATAGATGGAGCGATCACATAATTAAAAGAACAGGCGACAGATAAACGAAAAGAACAGTAGAGTGGACTTCAAGAAAATGCAGCGTCTCCTTGGACACGTTGGGAGGACGTGTTCGTAAATGAAGTTAATCAGCTGTACCCGCAGGAGCAGTTGTTTTACAGATCTTGGTATGACAGTTGCAAGCGCTACCATGCTCCAACAAGACCACTACCACGGACTACGATTGCGAGGGAAAGGAATGAATTTCACATATGCTTGTGTCCGCACAGCTCGTAAAGACGGAACTTCCAAGTATCCAAGTAAGTAAGAGTGCAGGTAGGAAGCTGTGGTTCACTAATAAGTGCAGGACGGAGGCTCCATGACTCCATGGGTCAGTTGTGCTAATCATTCTTTGCTGAATTGCTACTGGACCTGAAAGGAAAGCTACTTGCGATTCACGGAGGCCGCAAGCTGCCTATGGTGAAGTACTTGGGGCAGCTACTAGTATTCTAGAATCCCAGAGAGAATCTACTCGATTAGAGTCCAACGACATTTGTAATAAAAACTAAAAATTTTCAAACAGCTGGCAAACCCACAGGCAAATCAGAGGGCATTCATTGATGAAATAAAACGATTCGAATGGATGAAGTGTTGGGATGGATGCAGCATGCGATGTCGAGTCATGGAAAAAGAAATTCCACGATTGTTTCACACAGTAACGAAAAAAACTGATTATTGTAGGCTTGCTCGTGAAAATTCCAAGAATGGGAAAACTTAGTTGTTTCGCATTATGACACAGAATACAAAGATCCATGAAACCCGTTTTCATTTTGGAATACCTTCGGAAGTTAGCTAAAAGCTAAAAATAGCGCAAAATAACCAGAACCACCAGTCATTTGTGTAGTGATAGAGCTATGACGAATGATGGCAAAATTTCAAAAATGTAAATGTCATTTTCCTACAAAGCAACTACCATGCGAGTGATGGAAGTAGTACGAACGAGTGTAGTAATATAGTTTACGTTCAGGTACTGAATGCGGTTTTCGCAATGCTCACCACGCCTCATCTCATGTCAATGCTGCAATATGTCGCCTCTTCTTTTTCTTTGCTTCATGTTTCTTCGTTAATTCATTTCATGCAATTTGTTGTTTAAATTTCTTCTGTTGTAATTGTACTTGGAGAAAATTTTATGCGGGTGTAAATCCTACCAAGATACTTACAGAGCCGAACAAAATTGCTAGTTGTTCATCAGACTGACCAACTAAATGTTACTAGTTCTTAAGCATACACTAGTATTTGTAAAATAAATAAAATTTTACGGCTAATGAATTGATTTGTAACTACACTGCGCTCAGTTTCTGTACATTCTCCTTATGTAGTGGTATGTGTTCACATATGGCTAGTGTAGTGCTCAGTTATATTCTACTCTGCAATAGACACGTGTTCACTGGTTCTATAGCATTCCCTAAGCAAAGGAAGGTCTCCAGTCTTTAGAAATTGGCATCAAGCTTTCCTGGAAGCTAAAAATGGTTAGACTGGAACGTCGATCAGCCTTCTTACGTTATTGTACAGACCAAATATGCATTCAATCACCTCTACGATACTACGAATGAGGTTGAATACATGACGCAGCCCAAAGTGGCGTGATTTTACGCCTTTCCACTTCCACAGAATCATCGGACCACCTTAATCTTTATTTCCGAAAACAGATGAGCAAAAAGTATATACAAAACAGTACTAAGATTACAACAGCTATATTACGTGCCTTTGGTCATTGAGATAAAATGATGTGTTCCATATAACTTGGGATTTTAATGTGAATCTAACCAGACTACCTGCATGAAACTGCTAAAGAGCTTGAAATTTCTAGACACAACGCAGTTGGTAAAAATGTTAGCAGAAACTGAACTCACACGAGGTATAGCAAAAGGCTCTTCTTCTATAACTGCTACTAGCATTAATATGAATATATACATATGTATATATAAATATATGTGCATGTATATATATGTATATACACACGTATACATATGTATATATAAGATTGTAAACAGCGTATGTAATAGTGAACATCAAGAAACTATAAATTTTCGTTAAAGGTTTCACAACATTTCAAAAATGGTAGCATCTACACTCACTGCATTTTTAACAAAAATTTTCTATTGAAAATTAGATAAGCGCTAATGCGATGAGAGTTGTGAAGCCTGACACAGAGATAATGTATGATGCAGAGGTAGCTTCTTCCGGTGTGCCAGGTTCTGGGGAGTAGTCATTTTCAGTGGTCTCAGGTGGTGGAGCTGTTTTGTCGTCATGTTCAGTCCTTTCATCGGTATCGGCCTTGAGTAGTAGGCATACAGGATTGTAAAATGAAGAAACAATTAAACGGAATGCTAGTGATACGCTTACAGTGTCCTCGATATTCTCCTCCGCCTCGTTATTTTCACTAGGCCCATCCTCCGGCGTTTCTTCTTTCTCAGGAATGCTTGCTGTTACTGTCTGAATCAGTTATACAAGGGTTATTTTCGAACAGTATCATTAGCTTAGGCAGTTTTTAGAATTAACTAGAGTAAAGGCTTAGAGAAAAATTTAGGCGAGAAAAAAAACAAATCCTACGGAGAGTATCTCATCGGCCGAGCCACAGAAGGCTCCATTGAACTTTTCATCGCAAACGCATTTCCCACATTTGCAATGACCATTACCAGAGCATTCAACCTATTGAGAAATTATAAGCAAAATCATTACAGTTGAAAAATAGTAGAAGATATCATGTTAGTTTTTTTCGAGTAATCAGTCCGTCGACTGTTCTATTAAATCTTCCATCATATTTGTAAGGCTCGGTGCTTCGTCTTTCCTCACTTAACACTTCATAGTTAATTTGCAGATAATCAAGAAAAATAGAGGCAATTTACTCCATCCTCCATGCATGAATCTGTACTGGTGGCACACGAGCAATCTTCGTATTCCCATCCTTCTTCACATCTGTAAAGTGATGAAGAATTAGCACATTCTAACACCAAAACGTCAGCGAAAAAAACGAAGTCATCAAAGTCATCAGAGAAATCTTCATGAAGATTTCTCTCTTTAAAGCTTAGTTTTTTAATGTATCGCTAATATCACAATTAGAGCTAGGTGTCTGACTATTCCTAATATCAATATTTTCAAAAGGAAGACTTTACAGATCTTGGCATTAATAATTAATTTGTGTACATCTTACTAACTGCCTTTGTTGAGCTGAGGCGAGGTTGGTGTCAGTTGTTGTTATTGTTGTTGCTCGATGGATAACGTTTCAGCCACTTTTTCTTCATTAGAAGCTCGACGTATTTAATGTAATGCCATCTATATCATTCTATGAAATGCCTATAGTGGTAACCAAGAGATCTACTATAAAGATGAATACCACTTTTCCTTAAAAACTACACACCGTTTTGTTGCGTGTGGGACCATTTATGTTTAGTTCACATGGAATAAAGATTGAAACCTTGTCCAAATCAAAAAATTAATTTGAGAAAAGGTACCAGAATACGTATGATAGTGAGGCATTAGTTTTTCGATTCATTTTTGGTTTGTTGATGTTTACCCGAAACACTTCAAGAGCTTTGTTGCTTTACGTTCTTGATTTTTGCGCTAGGGTTGTGACAGACGCTTCAAAAATATCACAGTTGGCTTTCGCGTCCATGTATATCTAAAAGAGCATTTTGTGAAGTCTTAAGATTTTCATGTAGATGTTTCTTTAAGCGGACATAAAGGCGCGTAAAGAGATGTGGTCTTGAAAATTCTGCAACAGTGAATGAACTCCCAACCTCACACCGTCGATTAGTCCGCAACAGCCTCTTTGATCGTTTGTGCAACCAAGGAAATTGTATAATCTGTCCTAACGACATAGGCAGGTATACCATTAGTTTGGGTACAGTATATCTGATACCACGCGAGGCTTTTTTTTTAATTGATTTTTTGTTCCGGGTGGGTTTCAGTCGTTATCCTACACAACAACAACAACAATACATCGGTGATCTAACACCGTAAAAAACGGTGAATAGTTTTTAACAAAGAAGCGTTCATTTCTAAAACAGATCTTCATTAGTACTCTAAACAGTTTACCGAATTATATGGATAGCGTTCCATGAAATACGTCCAGACCCTGAAGAAGGTGAAGTCGTGGAGATGTCTGCAGTCGAATCACAAGAGCAACAACAACGTCAACAACAACAACAACAACAACAACAACAACAGCAATAACAACAACCACTGCTACCAACTTCGCGTCATATCAACAAAGGCAGTTCGTAGAATTTGCTTAGGGTTCTGTCATGTTCACCTGCAACTTCTACAATCGCATACACCATTGCCGCTGCATTGTTTACCATCTATTCCCACTGGACAAGAAGAATTATCGCATTGACAAAAGCGACCACTGACCTCAAATGAAGAACAATGACCATATTTTTTCTCAAATATTCCACTTACAAAAATTAATATGGCAAAAAAGTTGTTTGTTTTGTGTGAATTTAACAACATTATACAGCTAAAGAATGCTACCGATTGTTTGTTTAAGAACCTTTGTCAGAACACTCCTAACTCTGTAGGGCAAATCTAGTTGCCTGAAACTTTAAAAGCTGAAAAAGATTAGACGATCTGAACAGAAAAACTCTCTGCTTTCAAGCGCTTAACTAAGCCTAATTTTTTTAGAATTATGTAACAAATACTTTATCGTTTGAGCTTAAACGAAGCAAGCCGTTACCGTTGGTAAGTTGCATTGACACTGTCCACACCGACACACACCTTGCTCTGAGCAGATTGGTGCGCCAGGTGTTCTGGAAAGAAATAAAAAACGTTCCGTTCCACTTTATTTTTCAAATAGAGCACGAAGTAACAAACCTAATATCTACAGTCCTACTAATCATTTTAATTTGAGTTAGTGAGCATCAGTAAGACCTAAATCGTCCTTTTGAGGACCATAACTGCTGCGTGAGAAACGGTCTGATTATCATCGCACCAGAAACGAGTTTTCTACGAAAAATTTCAGCCTTATTCTTTTTGTAGATAAACCTGCCCTGTGCCTTCTCTAGTCCGTCGTGGTAAAAGTTACTCTTAGCTACGTTTCCAGATGGAAATATTGGAATCGTTCTCAGTATGACAAACTACTGATTGGATTGCTCCCGACTTGCATTTAATTCCACTTCGAAATCTGAGTTATCCTTTAGACACAATGAAGTGGTAAGGCCGGAGTGTAAGAAAGAAAGGTAAGACAGAAGTCACCATTAGTAATAACCAAACGGTCTCGAAATCATGCGATGAAAATAGAAGTAAGATGTACAGGGATTGTTAAGACCCTCCCAACGGTTCACCGCCTCACTGTGGCTGGGAGGTGTTTCTAGGTGTCGGGTTGCGATGTACAGCGTTAGGATTCGTCCTCCCGGCAGGGTTTCCCAAGCTGAGAAGTTCGACGTTTCCATCAGAAAGCCTAGTTAAGAGTAAACCAATACTGGGATCGAGCAGCGCTCTTGTATCAAAGTCGCATGGTGGCAAACCTCCTTCTGATCCACAGCGGCTGCGACTGCCTGTCGCGGCGACGACTTAGGGCAGATTTCGGCCAGGCTGACTTCGTGATTCCAGGGAAGCACAATGGCTTATCCAACAAATCTCCGAAAAACGGTGATTATGCTGTGGCCCGCAGAACTAGTGATGACGGGCCGTACGACATTGGTGAACATATAAAATTCACTCCAAGATTATAGTTGGGCTTTCTTTGTTTGTTTTCTTCTTCGCTGTTTTGCTGGTACAACTGATGAAAATGCTTAGAACTACTTGGAAACTTGGATACTTCGACGGTCCGTCTTCACGAGATGTGGGGACTCCAGCACAAGTGCCATTCGTTCCTTTCTCTCGAAATCGTAGTCTATGGTGGTAGTCTTGTTCGTGCATGGTAGCGTTTGCGAGTCTCATGCCGCGATCTGTAAAACAACTGCCAATGTGGTTACAGCTGATTAACATTGTTTACGAACACGCCCGCCCAACGTGTAGGTGGTCGTCTCAAGGGACGTTTGCATACTCTTGGAGTCCACCAGTCGTCTGTTCTTCTCATTATGTGACCAGTCTATCTATGTTTCTCTATCGATGTATATTCTCCTGCATCTCGAAGATACGACAGATTTCGAAGGTCAGAGCCTCGCATACGGTCTAGATATTGAGAGTACCGATTATATTTAAGAAGACATCGCTTAAGCGTTCTGTGAGTAGTGCGAAGCATTCTTGACGTGGTTGGAGTATCAACCCACGTCTCTGCAGCATAACGGAGCGCTGTCAGGACTATAGAATCAAAGAGATGAGCGCAGATTTTCGGTTCCTTCAGTTGGTCGGTGGCTTCTTTGAGAGGCCCGAATGCAGTCGAAGCTGCTTTCCTTCTTCTACTTAGTTTCTCCTTCATGCTGTTATCCATGTTCATTGATCGCCCAAGGTAAACGTACGAGGTGGTCTCTACAATGACAGAGCCATCCAATTCAATTTTTTTTAGCTGTCGAACCATGGGTTTTTCATGAACTGGGTCTTCTTTCGATTTGTACGCAGTCCGATCTTTCTCCCTGCTTCGCTGAGCTCGTTGATCATCATCTTTGCTTCTCTAGTACTTCCTGAGAATATGATAATGTCGTCGGCAAAACGAGGGTTTGACAGGAATATTCCATCAATACGTTTATATTTCTCATTCCAATCGAGTGAATTCACTATCCACTGCAGTGGAGCACTGAACAGCTTTGGCTATACTGTGTCGCCTTGCCTAACACCTTTTCCTATGGGTATGGTAAGAGGTCGTTGAAAAAGCTGTATTTTCCTAGTGCAGTTCCGATAACAGTCGGATAGAGTTCTCATGTAGGACGGGTAAACTTTTTGGTCGACGAGAGCTGATAGAATCGCATTCGTTTAGACATTTCATAGTCAACAAAGGTTAGGACTGGAGGCAACGGGCATTCTCGGCAAATGACCCCTGGACACGGTTCGGATGCTGTCCATGCAGCAAAATCTTTTTCGAAATCCTGCTTGCTCGACTGGTTGTGCCTTATCCAATGTCCTTGACGTGCACGAGAAGATAATCTTCGTGAAGAGTTTGTAGAGTACACTCAAGAAGCGTATGGGACGGTAGTTACGAAGATCCCTTCGGTCTCCTTTCTTGGGCAGGATGATCGTGCGCATTGTCCTCGAGTGGTCTGGGATTTTTTCCTTTTGAAGGTAGGCTGTCATATAATTAGCATAAAGTACATGTAAACTGTGGCTTCCAGCTGTAAGGAAGCCGGCTGTAATATTATCGGGTCTTAGAGCTGCGCCTCTTCTCATGCTTTCTATCGCAACTCGAACCTCCAACGGAAGAATTCCAGGTGGTTTTTCTCCATCGGGGATATTAGGACCCGGGACGGCGACTGTGGAACGGAAATGGTTGGTGTAGAACGTTTTCGCTATTAAGTCCATATCATGACAGGAAGTTTTGACGATCCCATCTTCGTTCATCAGGGCTGACAGCGGAACATTATAATCAGACAAGTCCCGACGGCATTTTTTCATACTGCTTTTTTCTCCTTTGCTTCTAGTAATTTTTTCTGCTTGTCTCGTTGTAGTTCTGCCGTAAAGCTCTTCTGCAGCTGGCATTTATTACTAGCATTGTTAAACGTGTAGCAGTAAAATCAAGCTTCAGTTTCCTTTTTTTTTTCGAGCGATGTCTTAGTAGAGGTGAAGATGCGATCCGATCTTTGCTTGTGGAACTGAAGCGAGATCGATACTTTTCAGTCCTTCGAGAAACCGCTCGTAGTTTTCGGTCGGGTCTTTTTTAATCTGTCAGTCACGTTTGAACAAGACTTCGTTCAGAATGTTCTCGTCGTATACAGCTAGACTTTTTCCTCGTGGTCCATGAAAAGAGTTCTTTTCTAGCATGCGGCTGAATCGAATGCTCGTGCGAAGAGGGCGATGGTCGGAACCAGTACCGAATGGCGGGACTACCGTTGTTTCAAGTAGAAACCATCTTTTGTTTGTCAGAATATGGTCGATCATTGCATGTGTAATGCCATTGGGAGACACCCATGACCAGCGGCGGCTTTCTTTCTTCTGGGAAAACGAGTTTCCATGGAAGAGACGTACTGCTGACAGGCGTCCTGGGAGACGGTTCCCATTCTCATTTCTTTCTCCTAATTCAAAATTTTCGACCCTGTATTCGCTATCGTTGGCCTTTTCCACTCTGGCGTTGAAGTCTCCAACAACAAATTTATGATATGCTTTATTATTGTGGATAACTTCCTCCAACTGATAGTAGGACGCATTTAATTCGTACTCATCAGGTGAGTCAGTCGGAGAGTAGCAATTGATGATAGTGATCTTTTTATGATGCAACAATTGGAGACGGAGGATGGATATGCCAGGGGAAAGGATCTCGTGTGAGTCGACGAGATGGACAATGGTGGACGACAAAGCCTGCGCCGCCGGCATTTCGTAACGGGACCTTTTTCCGCGAATCACAAGGGCCCCGTTGTTTAGTTGGCGTATGTCGGTTTTCTCGATTTTTGTTTCTTTTAATGCCGTCACATAAAATTTAATGCGATCTGCGGCTACAAGAAGGGCGTGAAGATCGGCATCTGCGGAGAGTGTTCTGGCATTATATGTGCATAGTAAGAAGCAATCTCCATGGCGTTTCGTGCGTGTGTTCGTCAAATCCAGTTCCAATGAAGTTTTGCGTACCCTGAGATTTTGTGGCCTCTCACCGGTTGTCTCTCTGGTTGACCTCATAGACGGGAGCACCTAGTGTGCGTGGTACTGAGGCTGGCCTATTGCTGGTGATGTAACTTCGTCTTTTCTGGAATCGTGACTTAACTTTACAAGGCCGTGTCCATGTTTTCACGATAATGTAGATCCGAGGGAGGTATGTATTCGGCGACGAATTCTTCGTTCAGTCTTCCTATTAGTTGATTCGGAAAGATGTTAAAACCGAAATAAGAACGAAAGTAGGAATGAAATAGTTGCCAACCGCTCAACGACGATGTGGAAGCCGCAACGGAGTAAGCTTACCTATTGAATACCAGTTTTTATATCCCCTATACGCCCTGGAACCGTAGTACTGCGGGAGATTCGTTGCTACCTACCACCGGTGGTGTGAAGAAGCCTCATCATCGCTGTCGCTTAGAACTACTAGCAAAAACTACGAAGCCAGAAGTTGCGATCTTACTCTCGACATCTGTCTTCCAATTCTACCGCGTTCTTTACCCCATAGGTAGCCAATGGACATTCACATTTATCTCCTCCTCGAGTTGCTTCGCAAACGCACTGGCCGCAAATAAGATTACCATGTTGATGGCATAGAGGCGAATTTTTCTCCTGTAATTGAAAATTCAGGAAAATCGAAACTAGTTTAAAAATATTGCAAGGAAATTTAGTTTGTTACCTGCTGACTAGGTTTTTCACATTCGCAACCACATAGTGGTGTGATGTAGAGAGCAGAAACTGTTGTATAACCGTGGACTCCTACCGATATAGCCGCGTCAGCGCCATCGCGGCATTCCAGAAGAGTGATCTTAAATAAGTTGGTAGTAACAGACTGGCCAAGGAAACGATAGTTAGCTCAAAATAGTGATACAAGAGACGACAACTTTTCACTTTCTTGAACAAAAGATCTTAGGTCTAGGTCAACAAACAGGTTCACACTTGGTCCAAAAAAAACCGTGGGAAATAACAGTAGTTTCGAACTTAGGTTGCCATTTAATAATTTTGCAGTAAACAATGGTTAGGATCCAAAGTGGATAGTACAGTTAATGAGCTTCCTTTAAACGTTGAATATAGGCAATGAAGCCGCACTCCTGCTGGTGTAGCGTTTGCCAGACAACTACTAGTGTAATAAGGTTATTTCACTATTTTATAGCCTAAAACACTGCAACACGAAAGTCGGATGTGATTGCGAAAAAGAACAGCTTTTCTGTTGACTGAGTAGACTTTCTTCTATGTAGTATTAAGATCGCTGTCTAGTGCATTCCCTGTTTCTCACCAGATGCAGTCGTCAGTTGTCATGAACTGGAGGGAGATTTTCCTCCTTGCGACTAGGTTTTTTTAGAATAGCAGCTAATAATAGAACATAGTTATGACAGCAGATCAGGTCTATTTCTATCTAGGTTTCTGTGCAGAAATGTTGAATATCCTAGCCTGGGTAGCTGTTATTGCTGTAAATTAACCCCGCGCACATTGAATTATGATGATTCTCGAAAATCTAGCTCTGTGCTCAGGCACGATTTTTCACTTACTTTAATTTTGAAGTTAAGCTTTTGTCCTTCTTTTATTTCTGGACAGTGCTTTGTTTCCATTTCTCGCCTGAAATAACATAAATTGGGTAATAAGTAATAAAAACTTATTTGAAAAACTTAATAAAAACAAAAGTAATAAAAACTTATTTGACATGGCTAGGAAAACTTTTAGTATTTAAATGATACCTGTTTTCCGAGCCAGATTTTCAAATGAAAGTTTCATATATAAAAAAATTCGCATAAGAAGAATGAGAGGAGACTGAGGGCGATCCTGTTTTTTGAGCTATTGATTGATTGTTGTTTTTATAAAGGGAAAATAGGAATTTACCCATTACATTCGACGAAAAATTCCATGTTAACGCCGAGCTTCTTGTATTCGCTTGTTTGAACCATAAAATCCCTGACATCATATCCAGGGGGCGGCTTGCGATGCAGATATTTGTATGGCACACTCAATGAATCTCCTGAAGACCACGCTTAACAAAATACTCGAGTCAAAGTGATTCTAGATTGGCGATAAGAATCTGCTAAGATAACGTCTTGCCCTATTTATGAAACGTTGGGTAGTTTGTATTTCGCAATAGATCATGGGAAGAGTGTTTAATAAATTGTTCGCATTGATGGTGTCTCATATCCAGCATACAAGGATGCCAGTCGCTCTACAGCAATCTTGGTAGTGTTTGATATTATCTCTCCAAAATGTGTTCTCTATAAATAAATCTTCACAGCAGTTCCTGTGTATTTGACGTGGCATGTCAAAACAGATCTTTTCACACTATTCTTTTTACTGGAAGAACCAAAAAGACACAGCTTGAAATATTCATACGTGGAGTTGTGGACTGCGTATACCTGGTTTCATTCTGAGCACAACTTGTTGGGGTTCGATTTGAACGATCGACTTCCCAGAACCCGGTGATCCAAGAGGCATATTCTGGAACAACAACTCGCTATGGCTATGGTATAGTCCACTCATTACATAGTTGTGTTCACTGCGCTTTCAGTTCAGTGATTTGAGAATGGTCTTTGCTCACTAACACAAGCATCCGTTTGCTTAGTCAACATTTTTATCTACATAAGCTAATGAGGCATATCATAACGAAGGATAAAGCGCTTCCAGATGCGCGTCGTACTAAGAAAAACGTCAAGATACGCACTCAGTGATATTCTAGACATTATCTCCTTAATGATCTGTAAGCACGAATCATTCGGTAAGTTAAAGAAAAATACGATAATGGAACTGGTCCATTTACTGGGGGTGATTCATTTCAGCTAGCTTTTACTAAATTATAAACTAGGTCCATGCAGAATGATGCGTAGTTCCTTTCACTGAGGTCTTGTTCTATAGTTTTACGAAAAGCTTCAAAAAGCGAGAAAAGTTTTTCAGTCACTAGTTGCGTTATTAATCGATTTCCCAATATATTTTCCAATACTAATTTTCTAAATGGATCTAGGGATGGAACCAAAAATGAATGAAAAAGTTATTGGGACGCCGCCCTTGTTCGGCGATGACGTAGGCTCAGGGAATAGATGGCAGCACTTTGGAGAGGTGCAAACAATTATTTTATCCATCATAGGCGATGATATTTTCTGAGAATTCAGCAGATTCGAAGAGTAAGGGAAACTTGTTTGTCTAACAGAAGGTGGAACCTAATGGTAGAACTGTTTCTTTACGCTATGCTACTCTTCATTGATATTGGTTGCACAAAAACGAATCCTTTTTGAAAACTCACATGCGGGCCGATACGAATCTCGGTGGCGGGTGAATACAAATAGGATGGATTACAGGTTCCCGGTGTGAACGCTGACCTAATTTGACATCGTTTTTGCTCAGTTGTGTGCTGAAAATCAACCAAATAGTTTTCTGGTATTCTCTGCTTCCAAAAAAAAAGCCATGAATAGAACTTAATTGAGTTCTCCCTTCTACAAAAAACCATGTATATCCTAGCACATTCTCTGAAATCGACATCGGTATGTTTTTGGCTTAACAAGGTTCATTTCTCTCCATTTCTGAAGGACGCCCCGCCAATACAGCTATTCGAAATCCTCAGCGCAGACGATCATTGTCGGAGGGATGGCATCTTGCGATCAGGTTTCTTTTAGTAAGTGTCTGCGATTACTGGCATTTAGCTATGCTTAACATTTCCAACTCTTCGATACACATTTCAATTGGAGACATAGGAAGATCCAGCCAGTATCCAGCAGTCACGCAAAATAAGGAAAAAGATCGTTGAAAAAAAACAACTACACGGCAGTCAAAATTCGGTGACAAGTCAAAATTACACTGAGACGATTTTAGCTTGAGCTTCAAAAGGCGTGTTTAAGAAAAGCATAGCTATACGGTGAAGTGGTAAACAAATAATAAACAAGTAGTATGAAGAGATGTTAGACGGCAGCGAAAGTCATGAAATTTTAAAATCCACATTCTTCACTAATATTATAACGAAAAGTCCATGTAGAGACCCAATTGCGAATTTTTTTCCTTGAAGAGAGTTTTTATAAAATTCAAAGCCTCTACAGTAACCCGTATTGATAAGAGTGCCGTAAGTAAAGTGGTGTGAATAGGTTCCTATTTGATGGGAAATTGGTTTCAGGGACGTAGGTCTGTTCCTCGTCCCTTGGTATTTTCTCAGAAATCATCCTAGCGGTCCTTAGGACTAGAGTTTTCAACTTGAATGCTAAAGCAACCTTACAGACCTAAATTTTTTAACAAACTCGGTAAAATGAGCCAAAAATAAGATTACCGGATCGCGACACCATGCACAATCTGGGTGTTGCTTTATGCATTGACTACAGCTTGCTTGTGCTTCCGTCGAATCGCAAATAGCAGAAGAGTCATCACACATCACTGGAAACAGTTTCCAAAGACAAAGTGAAAAAAATCGTAATGGGAACAAAGACCATAAACGCCAGTTACGTACCAAATTCGTGAAGAACCGGCAGAAACAACAGTAGAAGCCACATTTTTATGTCTGGAAAAGTGTGGAACAATACGACGAAAACCCATTCACATCATGTAAACTTAAACGAATTGGATTTTGTTTGCTCATCAAAAACATAGGCAACTCTCCATAAAGTGATATGAAATTTCCAACAAGCAAAATTCATTGACATGAACCTTCGAAGGCTGTAAATTTGGATTTAGCTTGACTATTGTTTTAATTTTAGTTGTAGTGGTTTCACATGCAAACACGTCACACATTGTGTTGAGCATCCTTTGGTTTATGTGTGTATGATAAAACTCTGCGTAAATTATTCTATGAAAGTGGTATAAGAGGTGATCTTGACTGCTGAACGGCTCAGTTACATTCACCTCCTTTATTCTTAAGAGCTTGAGCCATGAATGATTGGGTATGAGTGTGAATGTCGAACTCATGAAGTGACTTGACTACGAAAACGTGAAGAGTCCGCTTCTCTTTGACTTTTCGTGGAGTTGCTCATGTGTTTCGCTCATTTCAGAGAAACGAAGAGCATTACACTTTTCGTATTATGTTCCTTATTTCCATTGTTTTTGAAGAAAGAACACATTGGGTAGCTCGCAAAGGTCTAGCGTAGGAGCTTGGTGTAATTACGGATAGCTTGTCGTTCGATCACAGAGAATGTTTGGAGCTTATTTTTATGTTATCGCAGGTTTACGAAAAGCAAAAGTAAATTCAGGTTATGTTTTGTTTTAATGCAAGTAAGTGACAACCCAACAGGTGATGAACTTCGCGTTTAACTAGCTCGAAATCCATTGTAGGAGGGTTATCAATGCTAATAAAATTTAACAATCGTGATTTAAAAAGCTCTGAGGAACGAAGACATTAGTCGTACAATATCTGCCTAAAGTGACAGGACAGTGAAATACTACAGAGCGACACGAATGATTTGCTTCGAAGTATTATGACTCGCCAGCACTTTTATGAAAAGAACAGCAAGCATAGTGATATCTTCTCGAAAATTTGCTCCCAAACTACACACCTTTACTACTAGCATCATTGTGATGATAAAGGTTAGTACTACACAAAACTACCAGCGCTGTTTTAATTATATGGAAAAACATTGTGTGAAGACCAAACAGAAGACCCTCTACTACTAATAATATTAGTTATGGCAATACTAGTAACCACAACAGTAACGACAACAAAAGTAGTAATAGCAATTCCTCCTATAGTTGCTTGATTTTAGAATTAAGGATAAGAAGCTTGTGACCGCAAATGATACTAGGAAATTTCTACAAGTAGCCCTGTTGACATTCTCGATCTGAAATCTGAAGTATGAGGTGAAGGCTTCATGGAAAACAGTAGAACGAATGTACACCCACCCTTACGTTCCTCATACATCAGATATTGGTTTTCTTTTTATCTCACACAATATAAACCACATCGATACAATTATATAAGTTATATTATTAGTATTAAGCACCGGTTCAGCTTCACAAGATGTACATCAGGAAAAAAAAACACTAACGGCGAAAGATTTGTGATAGTACGACTCAAGTGACGAGTGTTTACTGGTCGTCAGACGGTTACTTTTCATGTTCGAAGCTTTCGTCAATAACACAACCTGATGACAGGTGGCTCACGATATGATTGTCATTGAGTGCAAGTAGAATCATGTTTACCTGCTTGCGAAGGCTCAAGATAGTTGCCTAAGCGCATATATATATTTATGTATGTTTATGAATATACGAAAACAATGAGAATGTTTTCTAATAGTCATAAGTAGTCATATTCAACTAAATAACCACTCATGTGAGGTCCTCAGTTGTCAGCCACGATTGCGCCTGTGTGACAAAGGGTATCGACACAAGCAACATTTTGAAGCAGTGAAGAACAAAAATCAGAACCCTTAAGATCCCATATGTGAGAAGAATAAAGTGTAACGGAGCTGCATTTATTTAATACCACAAGTCGTAGCAACGATTACAGATCTTTGCACAGCATAAAATGGAAAGCGTTAAATTGATAGATAGATAGTACAAGATAAATTGGTGTTCTCGGAATTTTGTGTTCTGTGGAATGGATTGGTAACATTGAAAAGCGAAGGGATTATTAAGAACCACCGCATATAACATATTCTTCTGAGAAAGAGTTGCGCTAATTGTGAAAACACTTTACTTCACGCAATCTGACAGAATGCGCCATTATAAAGTGATTCAAAAAGATAGAATGTTGAAGGAGAGGATATTTTAATAGCAACGTTTGTATAGAAGCAAAATATGGAGTTACTAACTCTGCTTGGTGTGTGTTGAAAACAACATTGCGGAGGTTGGATGTATCTAGCGGCGGCTTGTGGCAAAAAACCAGGCCACTGCTTTTGTGTAATCCAGTTCGGAACACTGGCAAATGCACCTAGAGGAGGCTTCTTACTCCGGATACGAACACATGGTCAAGTCGCTTATCAACCTCACAAACCTCGTAAAGAGCTGCTTGAGGACGCTCTTCGAGTTTCAGTGGCTCCTTCAATTTAAGCTTGACATCAGCGAGATCGTTGTTTATTGTATATAAGGAAGAAGTTCATCAAAACAGTGAAAGTTTATACAGTAATAGTTGTATGACTCATCTACACGAATCAGGAAGAATCGTGCAGGGTCTAGCAGCCTTTCCAATTGATTGGTCATTTGCTAATTGGGTAAGGTTTTCTTTCTCTGCAGTCTCGAAAGTCGTGATGAGGCATTCGCAGGTCGTTACAACTTGCCGACCAGTGGTTATATTATTGCCAGGTTGCCAGTGATTCCTGACACTGGTCTTCTCAGGTGCGTATATAGATGTAAGCTTCGGACCCCTCATCTTAGAACGCCCTGTTCAGGGATTCACCATCGCTGCACATTATAGTTCGACACTCAACAACATCCAACAATCACCACGAGGGAGGTAAAACCAATGGATGAAGTAACGATTTCGTACTGTCAAATACCAGATATGGTAGCCATTTAACTAATAGCAGTAA